CCTTGGAGAGTCGGGGTTGGGTGGGGTGGGGGGCCCTCGGTGGCCGAGGGTGCTGGAAGGCCGGCAGGAGCTTCTCCCCCCCCGCCCCCCGCCTGCTGTGCTGCCCTGAGAGGCGAGGAGGGGAGCATGGGACAAGCAGTCCGCTGGCGACTGGGCTGGGAGAGAAGAGTTTTCTCCAGGGTTTCCAGGAGAGAAGAGAGAGAGAGAGAGAGAGACCGACCGAGGGGTGCCAGGCCCTCCCTCCTCCTCTGGCCCCCCCCACCCCCAATGGGACGATACCTGCCCGGCTCTTCTCTCTGACCAGGATCAGAGGCCTCTTCATTTTTTGTCCCTAGAGGTGCGTCTAAGGGTGGTCGGTCAGGTCGGAGGACCCTTTGGGGGAGGGTCCAGCGCCAGAGTCCATCCGTCCGGTCCCTTCTCCATCCCTGCCTCAGAGCTCTGAGCTCAGCAGAACGATTTGGTCTCCCCGTTTCCCCCCCACACACACACATGCACCCTGCAGGGTGGAGACCTTTCGGGTCGCAGGGCAGCCCTGCGCTCGGTGGGGTTCAAGTACCTGGCATTAGGACGTTCCCTGAGGTCCGGCCAGCAGGATCTGGCCTCCTGTGATGTCCACCCGCTCGCGATAGCCTCGCTTTGCGCCACGACCGTGAACACACCGGCTTTGCATGGCGACCCATCTTTTCAGCTCTTGGAAGACCCGGAAGGTCTTTCCTCTTGATTCTGATCCCTCCGGGCCCTTCTATGAATCTCTTTCCTCAAGAGGTGCTCCATCTTGTCAGTGGGCACAAGAGCTGGACACCAGACCGTCGGCAGTAGGGCTGCTGTGGGTCACCGCCCTCAAAGGCACCGGAGTGCGAGGCTGGCAGGAAACCCAGATGGGTGTGTGTGTGGGGGGGGGGGTTGAGGGCAGGATGCTGCTTGACCTGGTACCCTGTTTTCCCCTTTAAGTAAAACCGCCTCTTTCCCCCAAGGTTGTTGTCTTTTTTAGGGGGACCAGGGCCGACACCGTTTCTCACAGGTAGGAGAATCGTTTGTGGATACCAGGACTGCCAAAAGGCAAAGAAGTGGGTGCGCGATCAGATCAGTCCTCAACTATTTCTGGAGGCCAAAAGGTTGAAACTGAGGTTGTCGTACTTTGGGCCCATCCTGAGAAGGGAAGAAAAGACAGTCATGCTGGGAGCGGGGGGAGGCAGCAGGAGAAGAGGAAGAGCCGATGGGAGATGGACTGACTCCCTCAAGGAAGCCATAAGCTTGGCATTTGCAAGAGCTGAGGAGGGCCGTTCGTAGGAGACGTTTCGGAGATCACTCATGTATAGGGTTGCCATAAATCAGAAGTGATTTGACAGCTGAGAAGAGAAGAAAAGACAATCATGCTGGGAGCGGGGGGAGGCAGCAGGAGAAGAGGAAGAGCCGATGGGAGATGGACTGACTCCCTCAAGGAAGCCATAAGCTTGGCATTTGCAAGAGCTGAGGAGGGCCGTTCGTAGGAGACGTTTCGGAGATCACTCATGTATAGGGTTGCCATAAATCAGAAGTGATTTGACAGCACATAAACAACAACACAAGCCATGGTGGATTTGGTTTAAATCCTGATTCATATTTTAAAATCAGATTTTTGGCAATTTAAATCATTTATCTATTTATTCCATTTATACCCTGCCTATCTGGTTAATTGCAACCACTCTAGGCGGCTTACAACACGAATACAATAACAGAGCCCATGGACCAGAGCACGCCAGGCTCTCCTATGTTCCACTGCCTCCCGGAGTTGTGTCAAATTCATTCTGGTAGCTTCAATGACACTGTCCAACCAT